TCATCGATGACAAGTCCAGGCGTATATTTGTTTATTTTTTGCGGAAGAAAGATGAAGTGTTCAGTAAGTTCGTCGAATTTAAAAACTTGGTTGAACGGCAAACAGATAAAAAGCTCAAATGTATTCGAACCGACAATGGAGGCGAGTTTGTCAACACAACATTCAACGGTTTCCTGAAACACCATGGTATTGCAAGGCAATTGACCGTGGCTTATACTCCGCAGCAGAACGGCGTGGCGGAAAGAGCAAACCGGACATTAACGGAGATGTCCAGATGCTTATTGGTGCAGTCGGGCCTAGGCGAGTCTTTGTGGGCCGAAGCAGTCAACACAGCAGTATACATAAGAAACAGATCACCTACCAGTGCACTGAACAACCTGACTCCAATGGAAGCGTGGACAGGTAAGAAACCCTGTGTTAGCCATCTAAAAGTTTTTGGTTCCATTGCAGTTGCACTTGCAAAGGGTCCCCGTAAAGGCAAATTCAAACCCAAAGGGCATGAGTACCGTATGGTTGGGTATTCGGTAGCAGCCAAAGGCTATCGGTTATACGACCCAGAGACGAGGACGATTGTCGAAAAACGAGACATTCTATTTGATGAGCGTTGTGGTGGTCATACCAATGAAGATACCGTTACGGTAGATTTTCCTGCATGCGAGGTTCAAGAGCATGTCACTCACACGGATGGTGACAGAAGCATCGACGACGATGACAGTGAGCACAGTTCTGACGACAGCAGCTCCAACGCATATGAGAGTGCAGTCGAAAAAGAAGACTCTGACGAGGATACTGTGAAGATTGGGCCAGGCCGGCCTAAAATTGTTCGAAATGGTAAACCTGGTCGTCCAAGAAAGCAATACAATGTGCTTGGAGCATTGGTTGCTAGTGACGTAATGGTTCCGACATCCTATGATCAGGCCGTTGGTAGCACACATGCAGTATTCTGGCAAGAGGCGATGCAAAAGGAATATCAGGCACTACAATCAAACGAAACCTGGCAGATGGCTGATTTACCAAAAGATCAGCGAGCAGTTGGTTGCAAGTGGGTATACAGCCTGAAACGTGACTCTGATGGAAAAGTCGAACGTTTCAAGGCACGACTCGTTGCTAAAGGGTGCTCCCAGAAGTATGGCGTGAACTATGTAGAGACGTTCTCACCCGTTTGCAGATTGGAAACCGTGCGGTTTATTTTGGCGTTAGCAGCGGAATTGAAGCTGTACCTTCACCAGATAGATGTGTGTACCGCCTATTTGAATAGCGACCTGCATGAAACTGTTTATATGAAGCAGCCACAGGGATACACAGATCCCAATAATCCAAGTAAGGCTTTATTGCTTAAAAAGGCAATATATGGATTGAAGCAGTCGGGGCGCGAGTGGAACTCCAAGCTCGATTGTGTACTACAAGGCATAGATTTTGTAGCATGTGAAAATGAACCGTGTCTTTACAAAAGGAACGGAAGAGGTGACTTATCATTAATCCTTGTTTATGTTGATGATATAATTATAGCATGCCGATCAAAAGAGGACTTGGCCAACATCAAGTCAGCCATTACAACATCGTTTGAATGTGTTGACAAGGGAGAGCTGCATTTGTTCCTTGGCATGGAAGTGCAGCGCGACGGTGAGCTTGGCGAAATTTCGCTAAGCAATTCGCAATACATCAAAGACATATTGCGTGAACATGGATGCGAGACCTGTAGACCTACAGCGACCCCACTGGATGCTGGTTTCCAAGTGATATGTACCAGCGAGCATTGTCAAAAGGTTGACATTGCATCCTACCAGTCTTCAATTGGCGAGTTAATGTGGCTGGCGCTTACAACAAGGCCAGACATATTGCATTCCGTTGCCAAGTTAGCTCAACGGAATCAAGATCCGCATGCAGAGCACCTAGTGGGTGTAAAACATGTGCTTCGATACCTGGCGTCAACTGTGGACCTGAAGTTGCACTACAAAGAGTGTGGACAACCCCTTACCGGCTATGTGGATGCAGACTGGGGTGGCGACCGCATCGATCGCAAGTCGTATACTGGCTATGTATACTACTTGGCTGGAGGACCCATATCCTGGCGATCTGAAAAGCAACGCAGCGTGGCACTTAGCAGCACGGAGGCGGAGTATATGGCTCTTTCAACTGCGTGTAAGGAGGCCATATACCTACGGCGTCTTATAGTGGAGATTGGCTGCGGTGACTCGAGTACTCCAACTATTCTTCATGGCGATAATTTAAGTGCTCAACAATTAGCTAAGAATCCTGTACACCATGAAAGAACAAAGCATATTGATATTAGATATCATTTTGCAAGACAGGTTGTAAACGAAGAACAAATTGTTTTACAGTATACATCAACCAATGAAATGATAGCTGATATTTTAACGAAAAATCTCCCTAAAGCGAAGCATGTTCATTTTACAAAGCTGTTAAATTTGATTTGAAAATTTTTGTAAAACATGTTTGCATTGAGGAAGGGTGTTGAAAATCAATACAAACATAAGTACCAATGCACGCATGTTAATATAAGCAGATAATAATCTTATGTTATCTACAAGTTATCTGTCACTGTTGCATACGAATGTAAGCATAAAGAATATGTATAGCAAAAGTGTCAGTCTCCAATAAAACTCTAAAGCGAACAGACGCACGGCGGTCCGCGACTATTGTCTTTTACTTTACTCCTACTGAGCCCTTCCCTTTTCAGCGAATATATAATCTATTCAATATATTTTTCATGACTCATTTGATGTCATAAATATGAGAAATTCAACCCGCAAATGAGGGAAAAGCATAATTAGAAACAGTAGAGTTTCTTTGTGTTATGTAGGGATAACTATTAAAGTATTACTAATACAGAGACAATGGAAAAAAGTGTGAATGGCGAAATAATGTAGAGAAAATCCTCTCACTTGCTCGAGAGAGTTGCTTTCATAGTCAAGGTAGCTGGCGTTTTAAATTTAAATTTTAATCATTTGCCATCGACTATATTAATAGCAGTCATAAGGAAACGATGCTAATGCCAACATAAATACAAAAATTGAGGCCTAATGAACTGACTTGTGTAGCTGCAAAATGTTAAGAGACGGATTTGCAGAGTTGCCACCCCTAACAAGTACTCGTACATACGCGGGGTACTACGAAATGCTCTATAAGTAGGTAGGATTGCATTTAACTGGCTGAGCGAGCAGATTGCTCTTTGAATGTTTATTTGTTTGTTTATTAGTCAGTCGGCAAGTTGAACAAACAGTAAGAAGGGCCGAGCAAATGCAGAGTTTCGTTTTCAAATGTCAAAATGAAATCGTTTTTGGAGGAGTGGGAGTGGGTTAGAAAAAGGGGGTGCGACACACGGCGCTTGCAACGAGCTTAAGAGTTGCAAATTGATTGAAAACGGTTTCAATTTCACGTGTGTTGCCTTCCCTTCCCCTCCCTCCTGAGCCATTCCATAAGTATACACCCACGCCAATGCTCTACACGTGTCCAAAGTTGTTCAATTATGGCTAAGCCAAATCCGCAGCACAAACATTATTATGAAGAGCCGAGGAGTCCGAGCCGATGGCTGAAAAGAGCAGCCAGATTCCACCCCCAAAAAGGGGAGGAATACAACCCCCGTCTAAAAACGGGCTCAGGCACTTTTAAGACGAAAACTAAACACACGCGCCGCCACACGATTGAGTCATTGGCTGTCAGAAGAGTTTACATTTATTTTTTGGCCAGCTTCTGAAAATCCCAAATAAGCTTCAGACTTCAACAATAATTGCAATAGCTTTGAGAATGCAATTATTTGAAAAAAATTCGAATTAAGAAGTCTCATTTGTAAAAGTTCGTTAAAAAATTTGTAAACATTTCACACGAATTTCATTTTCCTCTTAGTATAGAGTTTGAATTTATTGTTAAGCCAGCTTCTTAAAATCCCAAATAAGCTCTAGACTTCCACAATAATTTCAATAGTTTTGTAAATGTGATTTCTTGCAAAAAAAAAAAACAAAAAAAAAACATAAAATTACTTGAATTAAAATTAGTTTTATTTGTAAAAGTTCATTAAAAATTTCACTTTGTTCTTCATGCCAAATCAATTGAGTCATGGGCAGTCAAAGGATTTTAAATTTACTTTTTAGGCAGCTTCTTAAAATTCCAAATAAACACTAGGCTTCAACCATAAAAAAAATAAAAATTATTCGAATTAAGAGTCTCATTTGTAGGAGTCCATAAAAATATTGTAAACATTTCACACCAATTTCATTTTGCTCTTCAAATCGATTGAATTATTAAATTTCTTTTCTGGTCAGCTTCTTAAAATCCCAAATAAGACCTAGGCTTTAGAAATAATTGTACATTGCTGAGCAATAGTGTTCTGCATGGAATTTCTTGCGAAAAAAACACTATTAGTAAAAAATAAACATTTTTTAACACATTTAAGTTTGCTCTTCATGACAAATCAATTAAATCATGGGCAGTCAAAAGAATTTACATTTATTTTGTAGCCAGTTTTCTGAAATCCCAAAGAAGTTCTAGGCAATAGTTTTCTGAATGCAATTTCTTGCAAAAAAAAAAACACACTCACAATTATTAAAAAATAAAAATTTGTTAAAGCATTTCTTCAAATCGACTGTGTCGTGGGCAGTCAAAAGATTTAAAATTGATTTTAAAGCGAGCTAAGATCCCAAATAAGTTATAGGCTTCCACAATAATTGCATATTACTAAGCAATAGTTTTAGGAATGCAATTTCTTCACAAAAAAACAAACACACACAATTATAAAAAAATAAAAATTTGTTGTCGATTGAGTCGTGGGCAGTCAAAAGATTTAATTTTAATCGAGCTAAAATCCCAAAGAACTAGAACTTCTAGTCTTCCACAATAATTGCAATAGTTTTGAAAATGCAACTTCCAGCAAAAAAGGGTCACAAGTTATTCAACAAATTGTTTAAATATTTCACACCAATTTCATGTTGGCGAATGGTGCCTTCAAATCGAAACCCCCCACCCTTCTCTTTGGTACTCACTTTTGCATTCATTGGCGTCGTGTGCCGTTGCACGTCTCCAGGGCCGATCGAAGTAGAAGGGCCGGCAGCGTTCACAGTCACGTCCGGCAGTATTGTGGCGACACTCGCAGCTCAGTATGCCGTTGGCATCGGGCACACATTTGGACGCATGTCCATTGCACTTGCAGCGTCCGCCCACCGAGAAATCCGAGACGGCATAGTGTTGACCCGATATCTGTTCCATTGCTGGTTGCCCTTGTCCTTGTCCTTGTGCTTGCCTTGACCCCAATTCCAACCCAGATGCCGATGCCGATGCCGACTGTGGTTGCTCGATGTTGTTGCCCAACAACTGGACGCTGTATTTGCCGCTCTTGACATCTGCGGCATGAGCGGCCGCATCGATGGTAATGGGCGATTGCAGGCGATGGAAGACCACCTTAATGTCCGTGGCAGTCACCCAGTCCTGCAGGGAGAACGACGAGTCGAGATCCCTGGCCGATGGGCGACCATCCAAGGTGCTGAAGGCAATGCGACCGGAACTGCCGCCCAACGCGTCGTTGCCATGACGATGGGTATCGCTGCAGCGAGCCTCCTGCTCGTTATGCTTGCTGATGGTTAGACGATTGGGTCGCTTGAAGACGCGTCTACACTGGGAGCTGTAGTACTGATAGGGCTGCCAGGTCTGGCCATAGTCGGAGCTCTTGTAAATGGCCAGAGAGTCGGGCTTGGGGGCCTTCGGGCAGAATTGCAGATTCACATAGGTCAGCTCGTATTTCTTGCCCAGGGACAGGGTGAGGGTCACATTGTCTCCGGTGCTGGGCGCCGCATTGCTCACGATTGGAGCGGAACGCCAGCAGGTGACATTATTTGAGTTGTTCAGATCGGTGAGGGCGCTGGCCGGGAAGCTTCTCTGCGGATTGGAGCTGTCACAGAACTGACAGCTCATTTCGGAGCCGGCACCTCGAGCGTCCTGGAACTCACAGTAGCGTTGCGGCTGCCTCGCACCACAAGTGCTGCTCGCCACGACGGGGGCATCGTAGGCGGCATTCACAAAATCGGGAATGCAGCTACGCGGCTTGTCCTCGTCATAGCAAGGATCCTCAGCGGTGGACTGTCTGGACAGCATTTTCAAGTACATATCATTGGGTTTGCCCAATGCAGTGCATACCGCAAAAAGGAGCAATATCGCCACAACATATAACAGTTTCATGATGCACATTTCAGCAACGAAAAAACAGTAACAAAAAAAATGGAAAAAAAAATTGTACACCCGAAGCACTTCTTACAAGGTTTCTCACAATTTTCAAAACAGTCGATTGATCTTTATATTTCACGATAATGAAACGAGAACACGAAAGAAATATTCCTGAGCCTACCAATTGTTAGGCGTCCACTAAGCACCAGTGTCAAGCGATTTGCGCAGGCGCAGGCGTTCCTTCTTCCCACTCTATTCGTAAATTGCGCGCGCCTCTTCGCTGCTGCGTCTTTCCGTGCTGCGAGTTCACACACGACTGTGAATATTGACCAACCAATGCGCGTCGTTAGCCAGCGACGAACCGACGAAGCGACCGAACGCGAGAACCGAAGCTGAGCGAATGAACAGCAATCATGCCAGTGGCTGGCCCGAGCGAGCGAGCAAACGCTCGCGTCTCGAAGTCTTCGATACCGCCGCAAGCAACATCGGAATCGGGAAATGTTTTCCCAAAACCATATCTTTAGTGTGGTTTCTTTCTTTTTAGGATTTCGAAAAATTGTGCGTCACTTTTCTCCAATAATGAATAACATTTAAAGAATTATATCAATATTTAAATCTTGTTCAATAAGTAGGTTTTTTACTCAAAATTGTTTTTAAATATTTTCAGCGAAAGTTGTTGGAAAATTTATTTATAATTTTACTTGGCAGTTCATTTCAATAAATGCAGGAAAAACTGTGCAAATCTGCTTAAATAAATAAAATTAACATTATAAATTACTCGATCAGTGCAGCTTTTTGTCGAAAACTACGTTTTATTTTGCCAAATTTTTGATTTCTTCTTCATATTTTGCTTTTTGTTGTTGGTAAGAAATCTCAACAGCCGGCTTGCACAAGCAACAAACGAACATGTTGCAGACACAGCATGCTGCCAGCACAGCATCCACATATCGAACTCACCACGCAAATCGCTCTCCAGCAACATCAAACCAACATTTACAACATGAGAGAGCGAGAGTGCAGGCAACTCTCACCCTCTTGTGTGTTGGCAACATGAGATGCGCAGTGTTCGCTCGGCAACATTTGTTCGCAGGTGGTTGTTGTTGCTGCTGCTGTTGCCACCGCTGCTGACTGCAACATTTTGTGCGCCTCAAATTGTGTCCATATTTTGCACTCGATTTAGCCATATCAGCATTTAGTTTTATTGCCCGCCTCACAACTCCTCAGTTAGCCTGCCTTTCTAGCCGCCTTTTAAGATCCCTGCATTTGTTTGTTTGCCAGCCAGCCATAAAGTCGCTTCAGCAACATCTACGACCACACACACGCAGGCGACCGGCGCAAGCAACTAAGTAAGTCCAACAGCAATAACAACAACAAAAACAACAACAGTTCCCGGTCCAGTCGTGCCCAAGATATGTTGACTTTTTATAATACGCATTCGATTCCTATCGATACATGCTATCATGTACAGTCAAGCTTGTGTAAAACGTTTTTTCTAAAATATTCAGGTTTTCTATTTTTTTATTGAAATGAAAAAAATAATGTTGGTGTCGATTCTTCTATTTCTTTTGACGCAATAGTCATGAAGTAAACCTCTAAATGTTTAGGAAATCATACAATATATTGGCTCTAAAATATGTTTAGTGTATCCCAGAGAATATTTCCTATATAGTGAAGGATGGTAAAAGAAATTGTCAGAAAAGTTAGTGACTCCATTTTTGAAGATTTTGATGATGTATGAAAAGTATTTTATAAGCTTTCAAATAAACTTGAAGTGTAAAAACGCTAAAAGAAAGCGCACAAAAAGTTTGACAGCTCCGGCTCAGTTTGTTTGTCGAGATCAAAGCGTTCAGACAGACAAACTTGCACTAAAAATCTGAGTTTTAAGTTGCCGATCGATATGAAAACGGTGTTTGTTTGTTTATTTCTTCCCTTCTTTTTGTCTAGGGCGGACTGTACTTTCGATAAAGACACTGTCGGCAGCGCCAATGTTTGGTTTGGCGTCGGCTATAGGCATGGATTATATAGCATCTATAGCTGTGTGGCGTTACGAGCATCGTCCGCCTGCCAGAGCTAATGAAAAATCATCAATTTGGACTGCGATGTCTTCATTAAAGCTGTCAGTCGATGTCGGGGCTGCACCTGTAAGCTCCGCCTCAGATATATTCAATATTTTGCAGCTGTTGACTTGACTGTTTGTTTTGTTTTGTTTAAGCCGCGCATAATTGGCTTTTTACCCGTAATCGCTTGTGTCTGAATGCGTGGGCCTGATAATTATTGGCTTTCTCATCACATAAATATATAGAAATATTATTCCATGCTTACATACATATATCAACAATATACATATGTATTGTTATTCGATATGGGCCTTTAAGATACTTGAGCTCGCACTCGGACTCGATTGGGTTTGGCAGCCGGGAAGCTGGGCAGGGGGCCTCATTTACAGCTCACAGTTCATGGCTTACGGCTTTTAGCTTCTGGCCCCTTTCCAGCAACTCAACAACTTTCACATTTAAAGCTTGCACTTGACTTGATATGGAGAACAGTGGCCCGCCAAAGTTTGCCAAATTTCACCTGAAAACCAGACAAGAATGCTGCAAATCAGACCGCATGCCCCCCATACCTCCCCACCCACCAAGCAATGAGTCAAGGATTAAGGAGCACATATACACTGATGCTATCTAACGATTTTTAATGATAATTTGTGCTACTTATACTCGTAATTCATTGATTCAATTTATACAAATTATAAAAATTTCATGCGTATACTTTTTGGTGCTTTCCTTCTTAACTTGAATGTTGTATCATGTATTTAATTCTTAGGTTAGATATGCAGCTACCATTCAAACTAAGTCTAAGGTTCAATAAATCTTCCGATTATTTTGCTTATATTTAATACACGAATACGAGATAATAACAAATATTAAAACATCAACACAAGCCCTCATTGAATGCTTTTGAAACTGCTTTGCTAACATTTTTCTAAAACAATTATAGTGTTCTTAAAAATGATTTACATATTGAACAAATTTCTGTTTTATTTATTTGATTCATTTAGAATTGTTAAATATAGCCGATATAGAAGAATATGTCCAATACGTTTTGAATTTAGGGTAAAAAATAAAAATAAATTGTCTAAAAAAGGAGAGCAATGTCGAAAGGCGCTTTGAAGACATTCCAGGATTTTATTTGCTAGGCCGGAAACTTATGCCTCAATTAATAAAGATTGCCCCGGAGATTATGAAGAACTGTTGTTATACAGTAGAGAGGAAGAGAGAGAGAGAGAGAGAGAGAGGGAAAGAGAAAAATAGAGAGACTTCTGTTGAGAGGTCATTAAAATCTAAGCTCAATAGATTGTGATGCTTGACAGTCAGTTGTTGATAAATGAAAAATAATTCCTCGTTGGTCTACAAAGCACAGAAAAGCTTAGATGACCCAAGAGGGAAGAGTATTAAAAAAGTAAATACAACTAATTCTGTTTTTACACGGTAGATTCGTGTTATTTTAAAACCTGCTAAATGGAATAAAGTTAACCAAGCATATATAAAATTTTTAATTAAACCGTGTTAAATCAAAACCGTGTAAAAACAGAATTAGGTGTAGTGCTTCAGGACCGATTTAATGCAATCCTAATGCTTCATATACTACAGACACCAAACGCAGTTTTCAGGCCCAGAGCCAACTAGAAAACTGTGTAGAAGAGCAGCTCATTTATTTTTTATTTATTATTTGTGGGATATTTGTATTTATTATTTATTTTGTGGAATAGAAGAATTGCCAGCAAATAATAATATACCTAGTTCTGTTTTTACACGGTCTTTTTTACACGATTTTGATTTAACACATTTTGAAAATTAAAAATTGCATATATATTTCTTTAGAGATAAGGAACCAATCACCTATTTTTGCATATGATCAATTTCTTTTTTTACACGGTTGTCTCTAGAACCAATCAGCCGTGTAAAAACAGAATTAGTTGTACTCTAATAATGTACAAAAAGTTATCAAATCAAAAAACATGAACGTGATGTTAAAATTAATAAAAGACAGATCATAGATAAGGAGTTTTTCCTTTTGCAACATTGATTTAAAATTATTAATTAATCATTAACTAAACACTAATCATTGGAATTAAAACCCAGAGAGCTTAGTTGAAGTTCTTTATACAAACGATTATATTCTAAGTATATAACTGCATTTCTAATTACAAGTATTCTGCTCATTTATAGAAGACCAAAAATTGCACTTCCTGCTGTTCGCGTGTCTGCTGTTTTTTTTTTTTATTTTAAGAAATAATAGCTGTCCTCTTATAAAAGGAATCTCGACTAAAGATAATGACAATATAGCTGCGTTACTCTTTCGCTTTTAATCGCTGTCGTGGCGTTCAATTAACTTAAAGTCAATCGATGACTATTACACGCCTAATTATTTTTGTGCGTCTCATTGGAGGGCGTCGCCATCGCCATCGCCATCGTTGTTGTTGTTGTTGTCGTCTATTGTTGCCAAACGACACACGACACTCATTTCCGCTTCCTTTGTCAGCTCAGCTCAGCACAGCATCATCATCGTCATCATCGTCATGATGATGGAAGCGCTGCAACGTCATTCAGTGAATGGAACTGAGCCTCCATGGCTCTGCCTTTAGCTCTGGCTCTGGCTCTGGCTGTGGCTTTGCCTTCATGTGGTAGGTATTTAGCCAAACTTTTGCTTTATTACCTTTTGGCAGTAGTAGGCGTTGCTGACGCCGGCGTCCACAAAAAGCCCCAAGTGGCGACATGTACGTGCCTCTGTGTGTGTGCGTGTGTTTGCCAAAGTTTGCTTTAATATTGAGTGCGTAATGAAAATTGCATTGTCGTTGTCAGCTTTGTTGTTGTTGTTGTTGTTATTCCTTTTCTCTTTCCCTCCCTCCTCCATTTTTTGAGCCCCATTTGCCCTTTGTCTGAGGCGTAAAGTCCAAAACGGCTCTGTGGCTATGGCTGTGGCTTTGTTTGTTTGTTTGTTTGTTCGCCCGGCGGCAAGATTTTTAGATTATAACGCTGAAATTGTTGGAGTCTGCACTTCAGCCTCTCATGGGCTCTCTCTCTCCCCCTCCCCATCGCCCTCTCTCCACCTCTCTCTCCGGACGACCTCTCTCCCATCAGGCATAGCCAGCAACGTTTTTGCAGTCCATTGCATGTGAAGCTTTTGTGGGAAAACGTGCAAACATTTGCTCTGTT